GCTTGAGGACCCGTGATAGTTCCTGAGGTTTGTGTGGGTGTTGCACCTTTTAGTTTATTGCTATTCGTCTCTTGCGCCCGTGAAGAAGCTGCAGAGCAGCTATGGAGCAGTAGAAGTGGCACTCGCACAGTAAAGTGTGTGTGTGTGTGTGTGTGTGTGTGTTATATAAAACACTTTCAACGTCACAAGAACGGATTATCCAAAGAAATGTGATTTTCTTTTCGTGCACGTGCAGGCGTCACCACCGTCCTCACCATGACGACGCTGAGTATAAGCGCGAGGAACTCCCTCCCCAAGGTCGCCTACGCCACCGCCATGGACTGGTTCATCGCCGTCTGCTACGCCTTCGTCTTCTCCGCCCTGATCGAGTTCGCCACCGTCAACTACTTCACGAAGCGCGGCTGGGCCTGGGACGGAAAGAGCATCGTGACTGAAAAGGTAACGAGGAGTGAAATACGTCTCTCTGACGGGCTCCGTTTTCAAAGGGAATCCGTGAGCAGCGTAGCCGTGTGTGTGTTGAGAAAGGCAATGCTTGCAGAGGGCCGATTGGTGCTTTGAAAACATTTGTTGGAGGCGGTGGGAAGCAGCGATCACCGCCGCCTCAGTCGGCCACCAGGGGAGCCAGAGTGCTCCGACTATTTATGAGAGCTCTTTAGCTGAGCGGTGGACGTAAATGACAAAAGATATCACTGAAGAATACAAAGGCAATGAGATTGTATGAATAAAGGTAGACAGGAAAGACACATGTGCAAAATGCAGCAACCAAATAGAAATAAAAAAAATAAGCTCTGAACATTTATTTATCGAGTAAATATCACCACAAATAGATAAATAACGGATTTAATAATAAAGAGACAAAGAAAGGGGCTTGGATAAAAGGAAAATCATCATCCAGTGCTCAAGTTCAAGTTGCAATACTGTACATGTATTGCCACAATGTTATTTTACTACAACTTTTTTGACATGTTCACCATGAGGCTGGAAACACTGTAGTCGAGAATTGTTTTATTCAACCTAAACAAAGCAGTAGGGGGGTCTGGTGAAGCGCTCTACATCCAGTGTGACTTCCTCCTGCTGTGTGAGCATCAGTCAAGTTTCAAACATGCTCTGGAGGCCAAAAAACACAAACACTGTGAGAGTTAGAGTGCGTCCTTGTCAAATTGTTGACATCTTTGTCCCCCCGTGCCGATCCATTGTCACCTCACTCCTTCATTCACATGTGTGTAGATGGCGACGAGCTTCAGGGTCGCCTCTGTCTTTTGAAGCTTTCTGCATCTAATCCTCGCGGTGTTTCAACAGAAAAAAGAGCGGGCGTCTGTCGCCAAGAAGAACAACGCCTACGCTGTAGCGGTGGCCAACTACGCGCCAAACATCACCAAGGACTCCGGCACACTACCAACCATCGCCAAAGGCGGAACTTTTGATCCCAACAAGCCCAGAGCAGACAGCAAAGTCTCCGACTGCAAGAAGTCGTTCAACAGCGTCAGCAAAATTGACAGGATGTCGAGGGTTTTGTTTCCGGTTCTCTTTAGCAGCTTCAACCTGGTTTACTGGGCCACCTACTTAAACAGAGAACCCATTATAAAGGACATGGTCCCCTCTACTTAGAGGCCAGCTATGACGGGTTCTGGTCCGGGGACTAAGAGATGAACCAAATACCTCCAGCAACTGTGTACACATACCTTTGCAGAGTGAAGTCCTGGATTGCAGTGTGATCCTCTATCTCCGCCTGTTTTCTACACCGTCTGCAGCTCTTTTGAAAAGGCCGGCTTTTGTAAATGTGTATGTATATTTATATTCATGGTGATATATGGTGTGATTACTTTGATTAGAGTGCATATTTCCTTGACAGTATGTTTCCAGTTACAGTATGTGGCCACTGTACATACAAATCCAATGAGGAGTAAACACATAAACATGAACACATATGTTTTATTTAGGATTACTTCTAAATGTGTTGAATTGTTCTGGTAACGCCCACTCTTAATATTACCGTATTTATTTGTGTGAAAGGGACTGATTTTTCTCATCTTTCTTTGCCACATAAGAGTGGCCTGAATTTTTGTTTTCTGTCCAAGCCAATGCAAAAACACACATGTATGATATTGTTACAGTGTAAACGGTGTTTTCTTGTCTGTGACTGCAGGTACGGGGCTGCAATCACACTGACCTCAAGAATTATTGAAACACTCCAAGACGCCAAAAACATAGGAAGCCGCAACATTAGTGTGCTTGTGCATGTGATCGCGTTCAGTGTTGAGGTAAAACTCTAGCAGTTAAGTCATGAATGCTTCATTTATTTCCATGACATCACTATTGTTTTCATTCATGAATCATTATATATGGAAAAAGCTGATATTCAGTCAAAAAGATGCCGTTACTGAATCGGACGAAGCTCTGAATGGTATGTTAAATACGTGCGTGCTGTCAGGTACACGGGCAGAGTTTAGTCTTTTTTTACATAAAATAAACTCAAATATAAAGACAAATATATTGTCAATAGAAACATCATTAACTGAAATAACCTGCAATTTAACATATGTGAAAATGGATTTCTAATTTTTGACCTGTAGCAGAAAAACCCCGTACAAAGCTGACAGACACACAGCCCCGACCAAGTAATGTCTGATAACGTTTTTGGCCAATGTATTAGCAAACAAAGTGCCTATTTATGCATCCAACAGACAGTAGCAATATTATCATCACATTGGACGTTTTTTCTTCCTTACAAATGTACTCGCTCTCCTTTTTGCTCTGTTTTGGTCCCCACCAACTCCTGTGTTCAGCAGTTTAGATCTTTGAATTTCTTCACCAGCAAGCTAAATTGCCTACTTAGCTTAGACTTGTCTGTCATTTGGTACAGTACAGCACAGTACAGGACAGTACAGGACAGTACAGGACAGTACAGTCGGTTTGAGGCACGCAGTCAATGTTCTGTAGCGCTTTAAAGAATGAGCCACGAGAGGCTAAGAAAGCAACTCAGAGCAGCAGAGCGAGGTGACTATTTTCTTTAGGTACATCAACCCCTCTCACCTTAGCATTCGCACATACGGATTAGGGATTTAAAAAAAATGATCTATGGCATATCAATAATAACAGAATATAAACAGAATATATCGCTAACAGCACAAAAAAATTCAGAGATGGCAAATTTAGAAGAAAAGCATGAACATTTTGCTGCACAAGCACAATAATATGCATTATTTTTTTTATTATTTTGTATGTTTCTATTTTATTCTGTATATTTATTTATTTTAGCAAGATTAAACAATATACAAACATATTCATATGCCAATTACTGGTTTGAATGTCCTGAGATACACATGAAAGGTGAATATCACAGCTCTTTGTTGGCTTGCCCGTGATGTTGGTGGTAACTCTGGAGGACAGTGTGGATTTGCCGGTGTAGACTGGAGCACCGTGGCAGAACTAATCAGCATATTCTGCCATTACAAATTTTAGGTCATTATTCATATCCAGTGTCTGGCTCCTCAAAACACATTTCATGATCCCACAAGCTATTCTGAACCAATTACAGATATGAGAGGGACCGGCCCGTGAACACAGGACCGCTCTGTGCCAACAGGAACTCCAGTGAATCATGCGTGGATGATAGTCACATTCCTCTGCCAGAAATGATTCTGTGTAACGGGCCTCAAGTGAGACGACGCAGCCAGGATTCGGGACTAAATCATTATCTTTTGTTAACATCATGAAGTTGTAGTTTCAACTCATATCTGTATGCAGATCGATTGCTGTTTACACTAAAACTTTGGACCAGCTCAGAAGCCATATACAGTCATCATGTAATCCACCTCCATCAGCGTCAATACAACAGGGACAACCAATGATTGTACTTTATGAGCATATGTAGTGTTGTATAGACCTATTTTGAAGACAGAGTCTGCTATAGAAATCATGTTCAGCCCCATATCAGTAGCCATATACAGTCTGGTACGCTGCTGTGTTACCTTTTCACCATAGAGTGATATGATTTTGCTTCACATTAATATTTAGGGCCCGAGCACCGATGTAGTCGAAGCGGAGGACCTATTGTTATTCTAATGTTTATTATTATTATCGCGCGTGTTTCGTTGCAAAAAGGAGGTGCTTGGGATACTGGGAATTTTTTTTTATTTGGCACGCAAGCCAGAATTTGCGAAAATTGCAGTCTGATTGGGGTGTCCAGCTGCGGTAGGAAATATTGGCTCGATAGCGCCCCCTATTGAGTAGCCCCAACATTGGGTTTCACCTAGCTATATAACATTTGGTAGGTATGTGGAACGTGATGGGACGTACAAAAAATCGGAAGTCGGCCATTTTTTATTTTATGACGTTTTTGGACCATTTCAAGGCGTCGTACTTTAACGAACTCCTCCTAGAGATTTAAACCGATCAACTTCAGATTCGGTCAGTATGCTCTTGAGACCTTGGCAGTGAAAATATACTCAAAGATCAAAAAGTTATCGAACTATGTATCCGTGGCGTGGCATCAAAAAACACCATTCGCCACGAAACAGGAAGTTGTTGTAACTCAGCCATACATTGTCGAATCTGCTCCAAATCTCTCATATATCATTACATCCTGACCCTGAAGACATCTATATGACAATTTAGAATCATAGTAATAGCGCCACCTAGTGGCGACAGGAAGTTAGAGGTTGTGTACTTTTACATCCTGCTCCTCACAGATTAATCAGGTCCCTCTCAAATGTTGTCAGAACAGCCTTAAGACCTTGATAATGCTTCATTGTGAAGATTGTAAGAAGTTGTTGAAGGGTGGCGACGTGGCGGCTTGGCAAATTTTCGATCCTTCGCCATGAACGAATAAACTGATGTAACTCGACTCCACATCATCAGATCTTTACCAGATTTCACATGTTTGATTAGACTCCAGTCCTGAAGACATCTGCAGGCCAATTTTGAATCATAGTCACAGCGCCACCTACTGGTAACAGGAAGGAACAGTCTTTATACTTTGGCTTGTTTCTCTTAGTAGGTAAATCTAATCAACATCAAATTACTTCCACACAAATGTAAGAAGTTTATAATGCCAGTTCATGAAGCTTTTGATGTTTCGTTGAAAGCTGTTGCCGTGGCGACGCAGTCTTCGCCATGAAAAACGAAGGTAATTTTGAGAGGCTAAAAATGCTCGAAACATAAGCAAACTTGGCACACAGATTACAAGCCCAAAATGTAGTTATATAATATGATTTTATTCGTTCAGAGTGGCAAATCGGCTCAATAGCACCCCCTACAAAATTTCAACAAAGCGGCCCTCACAGTACGTTTCACCTAGATGTATAAAATTTGGTAAGCAGATGTATCACATGTAGACTTAAAAAAAAGTCTTCGGGCTCCATGCTCTAAACCCAACCGGAAGTCAGCCATTTAGAATTTTGTATGAATTTCTCGTGTTTTTTTCCATTTCCAGGTGCTATACTACGAGCTCCTCCTAGGGAATTAATCCGATCAGCTTAGAATTTGGTCAGAACAATCTAAAGACCTTAGCGATTAAAAGTTACTAAAAGCTTGAGGTTTCATTGAACAACATGGACTTGATGTGGCGGCCATTTTACATGGTTCGCCATCATCCATCAAGCTGTTGTAACTCAACTGTACTTTGTCAAAACTGTCACACTTGTTGACTTTCATGGCTTTAGGACTTTTGCATGCCAATATTAACTCATAGTCATAGCGCCACCTACTGGCAACCACGGACGTCAGCAGGATTCTATAAATACAGCGGCCCAAACACTGAACTTATTGAAAGGGTTTGTGGGCACACCATGAGAAAAAGACTTCTCTGATCTAAATATGTGCAAACTAAGATGCTTGGAGAGCAAAAGTTAGATAACAGTGGATTTTCAAACCATGTCAGTGGGCATTAGTATAAATGATCTGTCCAGAGCTTCTTCATGACAATCAGGTTAAACGTTACAATGAATGTTTCACACTACAATCTAAAGTTACAGAAGAGCTTATTAAAATGAAAACAGTGTTAAATTAAAGTGTTCAAGTAACAGCAAATGGCACTACCGTTTTGTTAACTTTCATGTAGGTCCAAATACAATCAGCAGGACACTGCAGGGAGTTGAACCCCATCCCAGTAAACTGACAGTCTGTTATGTTACAAACACTGAAGCGCATTCACGCACATTCCTTTTCTTAATGATCTTAACAGGCTTACATTTATGATTGTATCGGAGGTACACTCAAAACATTTGAGGCTTAAGACCTGGCAACATGATCTTGCTACGCTGATGGTTGACGCAGGAAATATCATCTAACTCGTGCACGCAGTGTATGATGGTCACAGAAATGCATGGTCGCATCAACCAGAGTCCTGCCAGTACCCTCGACGTGCGTGAAGTTGCGAGGCCCCGATCAATGCTGGTTGCAGCTTTAATTTTTATTTGCTTTTTGTTTTTTTAACAAATTACATTGTCGAATATAAATGAGTTTTTAATTCAAATGTTCTCCAACATCTTGATAGAAATCTTAAACATTCCAGATAAAATGATTGTTCACGAGGTGGATGCCTGATTCAGTGCACAGTTTCTAATAAAAAACACATATCATTTCAATTATGTAGAGTCTGTGCCATGCTTGTGAACCAGAGCCTGACTGAGGCCACATTTTTCAAGCCGATACTGATATTTGAGAGTTTTTCAATACGCAATATTGACCAATACCTGATTTTATATTTAAACACGCCAGTTAAACACAATTTTCTTTGGTTACTTAATAGCCGGCACATATGCCTACAGGTGAATAGGGTACAACTTTGAACTAATAGATATGACCATGAAACTTAACCAGTTGATCTCTTGCATTAAGAAAATTACTTTTTGTAGAACAAGTTTCTTTTTAAATAGTATGTTAAGATATGCAAATGAGACATTGTGTTTTCAAAATTGGCTAATTTGCATATATTTCCAGAACAGAAATCTGAACATTGGATGAAGTCAGTCAAAGGTTTTCACAGAGGGACTTTAGAATATGTATTTTTTATCAGTCCATGAAACAGAGAGTACTGTCCATAAAGAAAAACATGTTTTTCCTTGTTTGTAGGAACACAGTGTTGTATAAGTAAATGATATGTGAACAAACCCCCTGTAAAACCCTTCAGAATATAGATAGTGCTACTGAAGTGGAGATTTCTGCCTCACAGTACAAGATTTTTTAAAGACATGTATTGTCAAATTCCATCCATTTTACAAGACACTACATCTGAAAACGGTAAGAAAACAGTGCTGTAAAGAATCCTGCAGTGTTCAGAGAGTTCCAGCTTCTCCCTTGAAATACAAATAACCCCATACATTCCCAACAGATCCGGGTCGGATCGTGTGGGACCGTGAGTACGGGGGCTCGGGCCCCTCCTCGTCAGGAGAGGATGCTGTCAGGGACCATCATCACGAGTGTGTTGATAAAACTCCACGAAAAGCCCCGCGGCACTGGAGCCGTAACGCGAGGCTCGCTGAAGTTTCGGTATCTCTCCGGGACTCGAGCGCCGCAGAGACCCCCGGTGTGAGGTCTCCTCGTCTCCATCGCCTCGATCCACAGCCGACCCGGTTCTTTTGACAATGTATTCAAAATGTCAGATCATTAAAAATTAGTCATAGACAGATTTCGAGGTAGTTGAGTTCAAACTCATGGGACAGTTCCAACCTACTGGCTTCAATTGGACTAAAGATCTGACATCATAGATGTATTATGAACGGGCCAGTGTAGAATTACCCAGGGTACCGAGCGATGTATGTGGAATCTACATACAAGATTCGGACCCTAGTCTCTTTCAGGACACTTGATCTAGAACAGTGATTCACTAAACGTTATTAAAATGACAACGTCGAGCTTCAATGTAACACAATTGAAAAAGGCCACAACCTCGAGACGCACGTGACACCAAAGCAAATCCACACGGTGAAGTGTGGCTGAGGTTGCTATGGCGACACGCTGGCCGCGGCCTAATGTGGTGAGCTATGACAGAGAGACTACAGGTGTGTGTGTGTGTGTGTGTGTGTGTGTGTGTGTGTGTGTGTGTGTGTGTGTGTGTGTGTGTGTGTGTGTGAAAGAAGACAGACTAATTGAAAAATCAGGTCCTTGTTAATATCATTTGTTCGTCCTGTGCTTGTCAAAACGTCTGATTGATTTTGTGTAAATTCCACATAGGCCTATAAGGTAAATTGCTAGATTGTTTTTAGCATTTTTGAAAAAGCCATCCAAATGAGCTCTACGGTCACTGAAACCTAACAGACCTTTTCAGATACTAATCACAGGTGTAAAATAAAACATTCAGGACCCTTTTTTCAGTTAGAGATTGAGATTTCCCTGTAAGGTTTAGATATAAATAACTGGCTGTTCAACCATTTCTACAGCTATTTGAGATCAGAGGCTCATCCCCAGTGTGTGCCTCTCGTTAACGAATAGCTTGGAGTCACAAAGCTAAGCTACCGAGCTAAGCACAGGTCATGTGACTGCACTTCCTGCTGTTTTCAAGACTTTCACATTCCTCACAGTCTAAATCTTCATGCTGGTCTTGTACACAATTAGTTATTTTTGTGGGAAAAAAAGGTTTTATTATCAGGTACCTAATATTATGTTCTATTATTTGATAATGTTTAATATTTTCACATATAACACATTAATTGGATCTTGTATCAACATGAAGCAGTCCTTTATGGCTGCCATCTTTGTTTGGTTTAAGAAACAGAGAAAGGGGGGGGGGGTGATTACAAATCTTCTTGATTGTGCAGGAGATGCTCGATTTAAGAGTTATTGAGCAATCTGTAAACGCCTCCGGAGCAGGAGGCTTGTATGTCGGTGGTGTTGTGATATTATCAATGAACGTGTTATCTTCAAGAGAAACAGAGTGCTGAGGTCTGGGAGTCAGTGTAAAGATCTCAAATGGAAAAGAAAAAGAAAAGATGATTACATGCCAGGCATAAACTGTGGGTAATGGAGTCTTATTATCTGTGGCTGCACAAAGAGGAGAAGCAGTAATCTATTCTTGTGCAGAGAGGTAGCTTCGTTGTCATAGCAACTGATATCCATTTTTATCCCTCATCTGACAG